GTACACCAATCACCAGGTAAGGCAAGTTAGAATTGAATTCTATACCTTTACTATAAATAAATAATCCCTTAGGCTGAGTTGCACCATCTTACTTTAACTTTGACAAAACGTCAAAAATCTGTCAAAATCCATACAAAAAGGGCCTGTTATTGTTACGTGTAAAATAAGGTGTTGCAATTCAGCCTTAGTATTTTTGAGTTACGGTATCATGCAAGAAAACAAAAGAAAAACACATCCTACTAGGTTATGTATTTGGCAGCCGACGTTATAGATCGCCAACTCAATAACATTTAAAATAAAATCAAAGGCTTAGGCTGAGTTGCACCACCAAACTTTAAACGTAACTTTAACGATAACCAATGTGTTTTGTATGAAGTACGACGGAATTTTGACGTTTGTTAAAGTTAAAGTAAGATGGTGCAACCCAGCTTAGACTACAGGCATATTAAAACTTTTGAGAATCCAAAGAACTTTTCACAAAATGGCCGAATTAGGCTATGTTCACATGTAACGCGCGTTAACGCAGGTCAAGGTGGAATTAAATTTATAAAGAGTTCATATGACAAGCGCTAACGCGCGTTGCAAGGAGCTCGTCAGTCTGTTTCAATAGAGCTTAGAAGATGGACATGGAAGAAGCTATTGCGATGGAAGCGCGCGCTCAACTGTACAGTCAACGGACGTTACATAGCTGTCAACGCGCGATCGCCTGCGTCTAGACTTTTTCTCTGAGCGCCGCGTCAACGCTCGCTGACGCGCGTTAACGCGCGCTCATGTGATCGGTTGTATGTAAGTACTACGATGTCTAAAGCCTGGTCCGTGAGCACGTAGAATCCCATCCAATGACCCCAAGCTACCCATCCTTATTGCTCGCGCGTAATTATATTGCTGTCGCGACTGAGCGACGCGCGCCCGCAGTGAGTGTGCGAGCGCGACAGCAACATAATTACGTGCGAGCGACAAGGATGGGCAGCTTGGGGTCATTGGACGGGATTCTACGTGCTCACGGACCAGGCTTTAGTCGCGCGATTTGAAAACGCGCGTCAAAATTTTGCCATCTGAATATAGCCTTAAATGCATCGCTGAAACAGTTCGAAGATTCCGAATGTTTGTACGTAGCCAAGCCTGTTTCCTGTAAACTCTATCTGTGCCGGACGGTATGGGGTAGCAACCCTGTGCGGACCCTGAATACCGTACGCCGACACGGCGCGATGCGGGGTGCAGCGCGAGCGGGAGAGCGAGACGAAGGGGGCGGGGAGCGCAGAAATAATAACTCGGTTGTGGTTGAGACTGTGACCGGTTCCTCGGAGCAGTGGCGAGAGCTTGGTGTTGTAGCTTGTTGAGGAGAAAACGCGGAACTGACTGGGTCCGGNCGAATTTTGTATGCCAGAGTTATCCTCTATTGTCTTACGATGTAATTTAAATTATGATTTGGAACAGATTCCAAGGGTCGAACATTAGACACTAAGGTTACTTTCATGGGGGGTTAAAGACACTTAAGTTTCTTTTGGGGTCAGAGGGGGAGCTAAATGACCAATTTGAGTGTATTTTTCAAGGGGAGAGGGGGCTTAGACTAATTTAAGTGTTACTACGAGGGGGTTTTAGACACTTAGAGGTTTCTTTCAAGGAGGATTAAAGACACTTCAGTTTCTTATGGGGTTTTTGGGGAAGAAAAGACCAATTTTGGTGTTTTGTAGGGGGGTTTATTTCAAGGGGGGTGGGGGGTTAAACACAATTAAGTATCTTTTGGGGTTTGGGGGCGGGGGAGGGCGACCAAATGACCAATTTCAGTGTATTTGAGGGGGTTTGGTTAGTGTCTTATGTAGCAGTCTCTAGGGTCTCCCCTACTCTGCCTAGGTCCCCCCTAGCGATAGGCGGCGGGCCCCTCAGCCGGTGCACGGCGCGGCTGTGCTTGACGGCGTAGTGCCGGCAGCGGTAGGCGCGCGCGCACACCAGGCACACGTAGCTTCGGTCGCTGTGGCGAGCTGTGACTTGAGTTTGGATCGTTAGGGGCTATGGACCAGTTTGAGTAGGTTTGGGGGGTATTATAAAGGGCTTATGGACTCATTTTGGACTTTTTGAAGAGGAGGGGGGGCTGGAGAACTAATTTTGAGTGTTTTGAGGGGTTTATAGACACTAAGGTTTCTTTTAAGGGGTTAAAGTCACTTAAGTTTCTTTTGGGAGTTGGGAGCTGGAAGAAAAGACCAATTTGAGTGTTTTGAAGGTGGGTTTATTTCAAAAGGGGTGGGGCCGCGTGGGGGGTTAAAGACACTTCAGTTTCTTATGGGGTTTGGGGGCGGGGGAGGGCGACTAAATGATCAATTTGTGTGTATTAAGGGGGGGGGGGGCAATTTGAGTGTATTTATGGTCCAATTTTAGATTTTTTTCAAAGGGAGCAAGAGTGTCTTATGCATTAGTCTCTAGGCTCCCCCCTACGCTCCCTAGGTCCCCCCTAGCGATAGGCGGCGGCCCCCTCAGCCGGTGCACGGCGCGGCTGTGCTTGACGGCGTAGTGCCGGCAGCGGTAGGCGCGCGCGCACACCAGACATACGTAGCTTCGGTCGCTGTGGCAGGTCTGCTTGTGGGTTAACAGACTGTTGTTCGATTTGAAGCTGGAGGGGCACTGGTCGCACTGGAATTGAGAAATCATGATTTTATGTATTGTTGGTGTTCCATATCTATCTATATCTATCTATATATATAAAAGAAAGTCGTGTTAGTTACTCCACTTATAACTCAAGAACGGCTGAACCGATTTAGCTGAAAATTGTCAGGGAGGTAGTTTAGAGCCAGGAGAAGGACATAGGATACTTTTAATCCCGTTCGAAATTAAAAAAAAAGTCTGCTTATTTATTGCCATTAAGGCGGAACAGAGTTCGCCGGGTCAGCTAGTTATAACTAAAATGGAGAGGCACGGGTCTTAACGCGACATTTATTACGAATCGCGAGTCTGTTTGTGACCACGGCTGCAGCATAGCAGCCGAAACGACAAGCCGTGAGTGCATAATGTAACTCATTCATAAATGTCGCGTTTAGACCCGTGTCTTTTTATTTTAGTTGAAATGTAACGCGAATGATTAAAATTTCATATTATAACTAGCTTTCCGCCCGCGGCTTCGCCCGCGTGGAATTTTGTCTGTCACAGAAAAACTTTATCGCGCGCGTCCCTGTTTCAAAAACCGGGATAAAAACTATCCTATGTTCTTTCCCGGGACTCAAACTATCTCTATGCCAAATTTCATCAAAATCGGTTGCGAGGTTTAAGCGGGAAAGCGTAACAGACAGACAGACAGACAGAGTTACTTTCGCATTTATAATATTAGTTGGGATGTGACAGAGCATACAAATCTGATGGAGTCTGTAGTCTCGCTGACGTTTGACGTCACAAAAACCCCTCCCGTGCCGCTCCCATGCCTAAAGTATTGGCTAAAGTAGGAGGGATGGCCCCTTGGCCTTGAAGGGGCATTTAGAACTAAGTAAGGGGCATTTTGGCCACAGGGGGAGGCATTTTAGTCTAAGGGGGACATTCTGGCTCAGGGGACATTTTTGCCTTGAATTGAAGGGGCATTCTAAACTAAGTAAGGGTTAAGTGGTGGGCATTTTGGCCTAAGGGGGACATTCAGGCACCTGAGTTAGTTTTCATATTACATAGTTACCTTAACAGGTTTCTTGGCCTTGAAGGGGCATTTAGAACTAAGTAAGGGGCATTTTGGCCACAGGGGGAGGCATTTTAGTCTAAGGGGGACATTCTGGCTCAGGGGACATTTTTGCCTTGAATTGAAGGGGCATTCTAAACTAAGTAAGGGTTAAGTGGTGGGCATTTTGGCCTAAGGGGGANCACCGGCTTAGATTTCGGAGCGATCCGCTTCCGCTTGTGAGATTGGGCCAACCCCGACTTGACTGAACGTGACCGAATGGTTGGCGCATGCGTGCTGCGGCCGTCACAATACGTCTGCGTCACTCGCACACCCGTGAAGACGTATGCTGCCGTCTCGCTTCAACGCCGGTCACCTATCTCCGCTCACTCTTCGCCGTTGAAGAGATTTGAAATATGTCGTCGTGACACTTCTTCCGCGATCGCTTTGCTCTTAAGATTTAAATAATTTTATTGCTATTGTATCCTAATCAATCCCTTGCTATTCCTGTTGTTAAATATAATTTCCAATCCGCTAATAACATTCTTCCTTCCACCGTGTTCTTCCTACCTTTATTTCCTGACTCGAACTGCCTAACAATAATCTTAACGATTAAGAATCGGAATAGGATTCCGAGTAAAATATATGGTGGGTTGTTGGCAAATAACCCCCATANGGTTATTAATAATTATTTTAGTTACATGATATATCTCAAGAAACATAAATACGTAGATCTAGCTACCTAGTATCTACTCTTGGTGGCCATCGTCAACACTATGCTTCGATTAGGATTTAATATAAAAAAACCGTTTCTTCTAATTTCTTTCATGTTTAGACGGTTTAAAATAAAAAATTGAATAATTTATCATTATCATCTTAAAATATATTTTTTTTTAATTAAAAATAACCCAGTTTTTTCTTGCTGAAAAAATTACGTGATATTTGTCGAGACCCCCCTCTCCCCTACGTGAGATTTAGTGAGGTTTTTCTTGACCCCCTCCCCCCCCTAAACATCTCACGTAATTAATGGACGCCCCCTAATATGGCGACATCTATTGACGCCTCACTGCAAACTAGTGGCAGTCTTCAACCATCAGATGGCGATGAGACATAATTCCACCGCGCCTATGTAACTGTATGTATGATTCTCAAATCTATACTAGAATATTATAAATGCGAAAATAACTCTGTCTGTCTTGCTTTGACACCTAAACCACTGAACCGATTGAAAGGACATAGGATAGTTTTTATCCCGGTTTTTGAAACAGGGACGCGCGCGATAAAGTTTTTCTGTGACAGACAAAATTTCACGCGGGTGAAGCCGCGGGCAGAAAGCTAGTAAGAATATAAATTCAAAATAACAACATACCTAATGGACAACTCTTTCTGACAGATATTACAATTGACTCTTTGATTTTTGTCTACTTTATTTAAAATTTTGCATAAAGGTCCGTCAGCATTAATTTTTTTACGTTTCAATATCTTCCTTTCTTTTATCTCTTCTCTACTATTGATCGGTACCGTATCATTTCCTTCATCGTTTACCACTGTTTCATTTTCAAAATCATTAATCGGTCTATCATCATCACAATCATTATCCAACTCCATCGATTCATTCATATCTTCTCCTATTTCTTCTTCATCACCTTTTTCTTCCATCGTTACTTCAGGAACAAATAAAATGCTTTCCGATTCAGTCTTCGCTTGCAAAAGTTGCGTCTCCGCATCCTTGCATTGCTTACGGAAGTTAATGGCACTGTTTAGATTTTTTATGCAAGTCATACATATTTTTTGAGGCAGCCCATCGTTCATTTCAACCTGGAAATTTTAATAATAGAGTTAGGAAGAAAATCTATGTAAAAGCTTTAAATTTATTTTCAAAAACCTATACTAATGTTATCACAACAAACTAGACTCTTACAATTTATCACTTAAATAAATAAAATAATAATATTATGCCTGTTTTCATCATCAATCCCTAATTTTTAAGTAGTTTAACCCTATGAAAACAAAATTCTTGTTAAGTGTTACCTGGTCACTTGAAAATTAGGGATTACTGTTGATAACGGGCATTAAACTACTTAATTAAATAAACTAAACCTGAATTAAAAATAAGTAATAAATTAAATACAAGGCTTATAAATAAAAAAAAAACAATTTATCACTGGTACCAGTTTCATATTATCTCTTCAAACATTAGGGGGGCATCCATAAATTACACAAGGGGGAGGGAGGGGGTCGACGAAGTGTGACATTGTGTGACAAGGGGGTGAGGGGTCCAAATTTATGTGACGTCACATTTCAAAATCTATTGGAAAACACGAATCTTTCTTCATTATTAAAAAAAAGTATGAAAAAAGCAAAATATTGTAACTACGCCTTTAGAATTTATTTAATACACGATTAGAATTCATACGTCAGGGGATTTAATGTAATATAAATCGTTTATTTACATTTATCGCGCATAATAACAATAGAACTTCCGCGTTCGTAAGTACCAATAATCATAATAAAATACATAATGTTATACTGCTCTTTCACATACGATTAATAAATAAGCGAGTGTATATTAACCTTCAGTCCAGCTATCATGTCAATTGCGATAGAATATCGCGTAGATTTTGTAGCATTTAGAAATATAGGATGGAGATTATCACTACACAAACAAGTACGGCATAATGCCTCAAAATCGAGTTTTAAAGCCATTGTTCAGCAGAAACTAGTCACTGATGAATGAATATTTTAAATGGCTGTATATTTAAATACATTTCAATACAATATTTTCACTAAAACAAGAGGAAATCCGAAAATTGCACAAAACTTTCGTCAACAAAATTCTTGACAGTTTTACTTTTTTTTTAAGTTCTTAGAGAAATACCATGGAATAATTTTTATTTAGCCTGCTGGCAAAACGATTTTCCTGCCTGTGATACAGTTACAGTGTATGTGGTGGAACGGAACGTTTTAATATAAAGCACGGTCTACACTCACTGACACAGTCGCAGTAAGCACAGCTCGTTAAGTCTGTCTGTGTAACTGCGAATAAGTAACGATAAAATTGATTTTAATTTTTATTATTGCAGTTTTTAACGATAAGGACGAGAATATCAACACAAATAAGGAAAATAATAGCTTTTGCACTTTTTGGCACAACTTCGTCCTCGTAAAGTGAAGTTTCGGTCATTCTAAGATTTCTTTTTTAAGAATTGTGTTAAACACTGTAGTTTCAACAAAATCGGTCCAAAAGTTTTTGCGTGAATAAGAGGCACTCGAAGAAAAATATTTTTAGTTTTATAGGTAAAACATTAAATAATTTTAGTTGTAAAAACTATTTACAAAATAAAAAATACTTCACCTCCAGCGCCGCAGTCAGGAATTAGTTTAGTTTTTAAGTCATTTTAAGTTAATGTATTATTATATAATTTATTCTCGAATAAATACAAATTTAAAATTTTAGTTGTTGTGTAGACCAAGCCTTACTTAACAACTTTGACATTTGACAGCTGACATGCATGACAGTTCTTTTCGTAATTTGACACTTGCTTGACAGTAATATTTTCACGTGTTGTGTTTTCATCGAAAATGCGTGTTTAAATTGATTTTTTTGCGTAATTTGTTTAATATTTAATCCCAAAATGACGTTAACACAAGACCAAGAAATTGATTTATTCGTTGCCACAAAAATCGGTTCATTCAAGCGTAAGTATAACCACAAAAAAGCCAAAGTTAAAACCATGCTCACTTTGCATGTACAAATAACTATTTATTCTTACTTTATAGGCTTTCAGAAGTGTTTTATACGTTAATTACTTAATATTAGACCAGCTACAAACAAATAAACAAGTCTTAATAAGATTGTACCCTGTATATTTCTTAAAAATTCAATTTTGTTTCTAGACATAAAGTATCACTCGGATGCTACAAAAAACAGTAAGAAGTGCATAGAAAACCTCGTGGACATCAAATCACTTCAGAAGGATGACGGCATCACTTGCATGGCGTGGGGGAATGATGAACAGACAGAAATATTAGTGGCTAAGCAGAATCAACAGGTAATTTCAGGTTAAAAATCAGTGTTGCAAGGATATCTCCTTACATTGAATACTGAGCCAGGTCCAATTGCCTTCGGTGTACCTTTATGTACTCGTAAATTGCAAGGTTCAACTTCCTGTGTGTATAATTAAGGTTTTAAGGCATTTTTTAAATTTATTTATCTGAAGTCCTCCTGAAAAGATAAGTTTGTTGAAATTATTATACTAATTTTTATTTGGAATTAACTTGAAATGTAGATGAATACAAAGCTTTATTATTACATGCTATAATTTAGAATAGTTTTGCTTACATGCATTTTTTTTTGTTGGTTCACACACATTATTCGGCTTACTTTACTGGCCCTTGTTAAATCTGTGCAGTGAATATCAGAATATCATTTGAAATTCACATAAAAGACACCAATAAATCATGGACATAGTTTTGCAGGGCAATCGAATACCGCACTTAGCCTCATGATAGGGCCATTGTGCGCAAAAAAAAATCATGGACATACTTTTTATCTTTGAAAATAGGCTGACAATAGTGACTGAGTTTCTTGCGCTGCTACTTCTCAGCACTGGCCCATTTATTGTCCCGAAGCAGTGGTAGGGTTAATACTGGGACGTGTAAAAGTGCTTTTTAAAAGCCTACTTGCATAAATAATTTTAGTTTTATGAGTTTTTTATGAGGTAGGGTTGGTAGGTACGTGTAAAAGTGCCCTTTAAGAGCCTACTTGCATAAATAAATGATTTGAGAATTTGAACATAGGTTTAGGTACTTTCTTCAGTTCAGTTCAGTTCAATAAATAGTTTGGATAAGAAACCCTAAAAAAGTAAGTATGTGTTTCCAGATACAAGTATACAACACACAAGATGGCTTCACAAAATCTTACACCGCAGACTTCGGTACGGGACACGTTGTGGGGCTCGGACGGTACAAGCGGAAGCTCCTGGCTGCAGTATCTGGAGGCGTCGTCAAACTGTGGAGCAAGAAACAAGAGCAGGTCATACAAGTCGGCAAGATTGACAAGATGAGGATGTGTCCTGATGATAATACGTTGTTTGCTACAGGTACGGTTGATGGAGTAGATTTTTCATTTAAGGCTTCTTGTACACGCTAAGAAATTTCACGGTGTCTGCCTCAGATAAGACAAGAATTTCGTCAGACTTAGCTACGAAAATTTTTCGCACAGTGCGCGTCTGCTGCGCGTCTTATCTATAGTCTGGTCTGTGAGCACGTAGAATTTTGTCCAATGACCCCAAGCTACCCATCCTTATCACTCGCGCGTAATTATGTTGCTGTCGCGCTCGCACACTCACTGCGGGCGCCCGTCGCACAGTTGACGATAAAAACCTACTTTCACAAATAACATGAGTAGCAATAAATCAAAATACTTATCACATTTCGTCATTTTCTTCAGGAGGCGAAGAAAACGACCTCAAAGTGTACCGCCTAGGTGAGGCAGAGCCCACATTCTGCGCCAAAAACCTTCCTCATGATTGGCTGCAACTCCGGAGGCCTGTGTGGGTGTCTGACCTCACGTTCCTGCCTAATGAAGGCGGAAACTTGCTTGCTGTGTGCTCCAGGCATGGATACGTCAGGTACTGTGATATTTTGTCACTGTGATATATCGAGTGATCAAGTGACAAGTACGAGAGGAAGGAGCTGACGCACCAGGTAATGTGTACTTTGTCACGTGATATTTTGTCACTGTGATACCTATATCGAGTGATCAAGTTACATAGGTAATGTGTCATTCATTTGTCACTGTCGTCTTATGAGTACGACCTGAAAGTGTACCGCCTAAGCGAGGCAGAGCCCACATTCTGCGCCAAGAACCTGCCTCACGACTGGTTACAACTCCGGAAGCCTGTGTGGGTGTCAGACCTCACGTTCCTGCCCAATGAGGGCGGAAATATACTCGCCGTGTGCTCCAGACATGGATACGTCAGGTAACGTGATATATTGGTTTAGTCACGTGATATTTTGTCACTGTGATATATCGCGTGATCAAGTGAGTACGAGAGGAAGGAGTTGATGCAGCACAAAGTAATGTGTAATTTTTCACGTAATTTCATCAATGATCGAGTGACAAAGCCTCGTTAAGAGCAAATTCAAATTATTTATTGCATATCACATGGGTAAGCAATCGCGTGATTAAGTGATATCAGTAGATAGACTAATCACTAGAGAATCGAGCTGATACATAGGGTGACGTGATATTAGGTCACTGTGATATATCGCGAGATGAACATCAGTACTCAAGCATGGAGCTGAACCGACTTATTTATTGATAAATAAACCGACTCCAACACCACTTCGGAAAAATAACAGTATACGCATTTGGTCATTAGTTTGTCCCTGATTTATCACGAACCACTGTGTGACATTATCCCCCTTTACGTTGCAGTTAGTTAAAGATCATTAAACGTCATTATTCTAATACATTTCAGGTTATACGACACTCGCGCGCAACGAAGGCCGGTGTGTAACGTTGAATTCACAATGGCCGCTACTTGCATGGCGCCCAGTTTTGACGAAAGGTAGGTTGACATTAGTAATGATGATATGAACAGTTGTAGCCTTGACTCAGAAATACGAATAAGTGCCGAAATGTTGTCTCGAAGTGGTGGTATGGCAAGCTATATTTGGGACGTGTATAAGTGCCTTGAAAAGGGCCCCCGCAATAGATATTTTAATTTTGACAGATAATAAAAAAAATATCTCTAATTCCTTCCAGTTTCTCTTCTCACGTCAGTAACTTGAGAATGACTTCATATTTTTTTGTGGTTTCTAGTATAAATTGTAGAAGGTTCTTACGGAAAGAAAATTAGGAAAAGTGCGTAGAAAAATTGATAATTTCAGAAAACTCAACGCACATTTTAACGTCAAGCGTTTTATCAATGTAAATGAAAGTCAGACTTGGCTTGAAATCGATTTTTACGTGTACGAAATTGCTTCCTTAATTAGCTATAAGTATAATACTAATAATTTGTATAATTATCTGTCATGCCAGGCAAGTCCTAGTGGGCTTCGGTCGCGGTCAACTACACCAAGTGGACCTACGAAAGGGCAAACCTGACAAAGGCTTTAAGGGAAGCGCGGGCGCCATCACTGATATAACCACAGTAGCTGAAGGAAGACTCATCGTTAGTACCAGTCTGGATAGACAGCTTAGAGTGCATCAGTATGAGAGCAAGGAACTGGTTTATAAGGTAAGTGATTTTTGTCACGTGATATTTTGTCGCTGTGATTTATCGCGTGATTTCGTCACGTGATATTTTATCACTGTGATATATCGAGTGACGGCTATAAAGGTAGCGCAGTCGCCATCACTGATATAACCACAGTAGCTTAGAGTGCATCAGTATGAGAGCAAGGAATTAGTGTACAAGGTATTTTATTGTAACGCGATATTTGTCACTGTGATTTCTCGCGTAATTTAGTCACTGCCACAAATTAATAATATTAATAAGTAATGTACCACATTCTGCAAATAAATAATTTCAATTTACATATAAGTACAGTCGCGGAATGAAAAGGTTCGTCACCTTAGTGTCGGTTTTCGCTTGCACCAAAGAGTCAAACCTGCCAACATAACAGTGCAAGAAACAGTGCTGCTAACATTTAAATAAATATGACGTTTGCTGACGAATAAGGTTTTGCTTGTTTATTTTTCTATCACATCAGTGCAATGCAATGATGACATTGACCAATTGACAATAGTTTTTTTTATTTAATAGACATAATAATGGCAGGTTGAACCAACAAGAAGGTTTTAGTTTATCAATCATAATAATCTT